TGGTTTTGCTGGTGACCAGCCTTGATGGTCTATGCTGGTTTTAGCCCCCCTTCATTTAGAGGATAATGGTTTCAGTGTGACTCTACTCCAAAGTCCAGGACAGACTGAACTGTCAGAAACATTAAAGCTTGATGTTTTACAGTTATTTGAAGATCTTTAAATTTCTTACAGTTCGATTCTAGGAGTTTGCAGCACTGTTAATCGTTGGCTTTCCTATCCTGTTTCTCTTCTACCATGTAGAAATAATAGGCACACAGGTCAAATGTAATTAAGAGTGAGAGTTATGAATTAAATACAAATATGCTGTTATTCACTCACATGCTGGTGACCATTCAGATAAATATTCCCTTACAGATCCAAACAAACTGCTGATATTCCTGTTTAATTCTTGGTTTAATAACTTGAAATGTATTAACTTTGCATAACAGATGTGCTACATCCTAAAAGTATTGTTTTACATCATATTAAAAAAAGAAACTTTTATATCCAGAAGTGCAGCTACAGTGTGTAAACAGTCACTGTGGCTCAATGTGTTACTTCACTACATTGTATTAATGCTGGGGGAGACGGGTGGTTCCTGATTTCATATCCGATCTTCAGCATTTTGTATGTTTGGGTGTCTTCTCACAGTAATCACAACACAGTGTACATTGGAAGTTCTAAAAATGTGTTAATAAAACATATTAGGTATTTAATATTCTCACACATAGCGCAGCAGCTTAGGTCCTGGGAGATCACAGACTTAATGACAGCATTACTAGTGTAATTGTTTAACAATCTTGACTCCGGAGCCAGTCAGGGGTTATTTTCCCCTTTTGATCAAAATAAATTGACCGTTAACAATAATTACATAGTTCGCACTTTCAAAAGTTCAGTCGACGGCCTTCACGAGAAGCACACTCACTATATAAGAGCTGCTGAAAGCTCGTTTTACCAGATGAGCTACGATACAAATAACATTAACCACTGTTCTTAATTAGCTGTGCAAATGAAAACTGCAGTGGTTTGATGAAAAGCCAACACTAACATGAATACAACACAGACAAACGCAGAACAGCTTGTTATAACAACAACATTTTCTGATTAAGAGGACCAATAGACATGTTATCATTAGCAACCTCACATAAAACTGGACCAACTCAGTAGGTTTTTTTTACATTTGAAAACATTGAGTGTAAAATTCACTAACCCAGTTCAAAAAGCCTCCTCTGGAGTTCATCTCTCTCTTTCTGTAACTGATCTCTTTCCACCATCAGGCTGGTGTAAGTCTCTTTAGTTTGGTTGGTACAGATGGTCTGTTCCAGGTCAGTCACTGAAAGTAATAGAGAATTATTACAGAATTATTACTGGAGACCAAGATGGCGGCATGCACAGTGGCCTCTCCGGGTCTGACTAATGGTGCTATGTCTGTTTTATTAGTTTAAGTTTCATGTTCTTTCCGACGCAAGTACATGGAAACCACCGTAACTTTTGTTTACTACCACCTTATCCTTACAGATAAGGAAACAGACAGAAAGAAGCTACATGAGCTCAGTTTGCCTGCTCACACCAAGCAGTGCTCAGCATTTCCTGATGAGGGATATCTCTTTTTCTGTAACTGATCTCTTTCCACCATCAGGCTGGTGTAACTTTCTGTCTCTTTAGTATGGTTGCTAAAGATGGTCTGTCCCAGGTCAGTCACTGAAAGTAATAGAGAATTATCACTTAATGAATGGGGCCAAAACCTTCATATGTACACTTGCAGTCAAAAAGAACTGCTCAGACATTTTTCAACATACTGATTACTGACGAACATCAAGAGATGAGTAGGCAGATTTGAAGATAAAAGCCAAATTTTTTTACTTATTTGTTACGTATAAGTAAGAGAAACTTACTATTCGTGCGTAACAGTGACACTGATATGACTTACTCTGTAAGTGCCTTGAGCACATCACTAACTGAATGAGACAAATTTCTGCAGTTGAACAAAGATAAAACTAATTTGGGATATTTGGGAACAGCAATGAGACACAGACTAGCTACCCATCTGGATTCGACAACCCTAAAATCTAAAGAACTATTGTGTAACCTTGGTGTACTAATGGACTCTGATCTTAGTTTTAGCAGTTGTGTCAAAGCAGTTACTAAATCAGCTTTTTATCACCTTCATCAGAGATTTTCTGACTAAAGCAGACCTGGAGAAACTCATCCACGCCTTTATTTCTAGCAGGATTGATCACTGTAATGGGCTCTTAACTGAACTCCCAAAAAGACAATTAAACAGCTTCAGATGATTCAAAATGCAGCTGCCAGAGTCTCACTAGGAGTGAAAGAAGGGAACATATAAACCCCATTCTTAAATCCTTACACTGGCTACCAGTCTGTTACAGAATAGACTTTAAGATACTATTATTGGTCTAGAAATCGCTCAATGAGCAGATCTCTCAGATCATTAGAAACTAGTCAGTCAGTCCTGCTGAAGGTGAAGACTGAACATGGAGGAGCAGCGTTTAGCTACTATGCTGCTCTTAAATGGAACCAGTTGGCAGAGAGCATTAGAAGAGCCCCAACACTGGACACTTTTAAATCCAGGCTAAAAACATTCCTGTTTGAGCAGCTTTCAGCTCAGTTTAAACACTGCTAGCATTTCTAGTCCCTTTTCCTCTGTAAAGACACTTTTTTAATCCTAATCTAGTTTTTATTTTGATTATTTAACTATCCTAAATTAATTTTATTTCATTTTTAATTTCATGATTTTCTCTTTGAAATTTGTTTTAAACATGTTTTAATTATGTTTTAATATAGTTTTTAATTATGTTTTTCTATTTGCGTTTACTTTCTTTTAAACAACTCTGACTCTGAATTTTCTCATTTTTAAAGCACTTTGAATGACAGCAGTGTTTGAAAGGTGCTATATAAATAAATATGCCTTGTCTTGATATGTGTAAACTTGTTTATTAGATTTTCTAAGTGAAAACAAACATGTAATGTGACCAGGGTGTTCAGATTTTTTGCATACAACTGTATAAGACATATCTATAGTGTGTGTGTGTGTGTGTGTGTGTGTGTGTGTGTGTGTGTATATATATATGTATGTATGTATGTATATATAAATAAATATATATGTATGTATGTATGTAATTCGCTTGCACAAGGAAGTGGAGGGTCAAAAATAATAAGAGAAAAAATAGGTGTTTTCTAAAAGTGGGGTTCAAAAACTGAATAAAAGATATAGAACAATAATAATAGGAGTCCTAACAACTGTGCAAGACCTGGTAGACCCCAAAAACTTACCTCGAAAAAGACTGAACTTTGGCAGTGTTCTGCAGACTTTCTTCAAATGAAGAGAAATGAAAGCTAGTCTCTTGAAAAGAATATAAGCTGTTCTAGAGGTGAAGAATGGACACAATAACAACTGAAAAAGTTGTATATTGAAAATATTATATTTAGTTATTGATGCTTATGTACTGTCTGCTTTTTCCTGACCCTGAAAAATAAAAGGACTTATACTTAATGGCATTTTAAAATGACAATAATGAAAGGGATTACAGTGGTGGGGTTTGTGGGAGTCGTCTGACTCTTGTACAGTACTGTACATTTAAGGGATGTTTAAGTTTGGTTGACCTCATAGATACAAGGCAGGAGTATCTAACAAACTGGGAGCTGATGAGTATCTGAGCAAATATTTTTGCAAATATCTTCTGCCAGTGTTTGTCTATCAACTATTTCATATATTTTTTGTGATTTTTTTTTTTTAAAAGCTGTATTTTATAACATTGACTGAGGGGGGAGAGGTTGGAGTAACTGTGACAGGCCAAATCAGACATCATCAATTTTGGGCAGCCCACAGGTCAATTGTTTTACAGAAACATGTTCATTTTGGAATCGCTTCTGGGAGAAACAGTAATATTTGATTGTCAGTTAAACCTGTTGGGGGTATATTAAATAGAAAAATGTGTGTAACTGATTATTGTTGAATCTGCTTTGAGATGGTGTTTGGTGCCCTCTTGTGGATAATTATGATGTGACTCCCAAATTCAGCCTGTTTAACCTTTTCAGCTCTTTGAGACCACCAGTGGTTCCAAAACACACTTCGTCATGTTCTTCATAACTTTAATATTTCATAAACTACATTCAAAAGGTGGCTGTCATATGAGATGGGTAATGTAATTTTAAACCCTTATAATAAAAGAAGCTGAACTCTTATTTGTCTACTGAAATTTGACCCATTTTTCCACAAATCTGGGCTATAAACTATGAACAGATGGCGTCTCTTCAGTGATCTGCTCTGTAAAAATTACTTTTATAAAATAATACAAAGAATGTCTAAGATTTTTGGCTTTCAGCAGTAAATTGTCAGCATATAGCAATATGTTGTGATCATAAAACACATGTTCTGTTGATTTGAGGGGAGCTTTTACAAAATAAATGAATAAATAAATAAAATAAAAATGTACACTTATTTCATGCAGTTACTGAATAATTTGCCTTACGATTTGGTGATGTTAATTCAGATGGAAAAACCAAAATATACCCTGGGCAATAAGAGGTTAAAATGAGAAATCAAAGTTCTTCAGAAGATTATGAGCTGATCATACTTGTGTATTTTGTACTGTTATTGCTCACTGACTGATACATTAGAACTGTATAAACTGGAGCTGATATCTGATCCTCAGTCAGGAACAGTAGAATATGTACAGTAATAACATAAAACATCAATACATTTTTAAAATAAACACATCACAACAAATGTCACCAAAAACACACAATCATAATTTATTATTATTTCTAATAGATAATCTGTCAGCTCTGTTGAATGTTTTAGACAATTAAATTCCTATGGTGTTTAACATGTTTAACATTTCAAATGAAATTATTAAGTAAAAATAATAAAAACAATAAAATTTACAAAAAAATCAGATGTATGAGACGAAAAAGACAATCAACTACAGATTATAAACAGATCCTGCACTGACTTCATTCAGCCTCCAGGGGGCAATCAAACCTTCTGATCATATATCTGATGTTTGATCACGTGTCTGACTACAAATTCTGGAAGTATATATATAATTTTATTGGGATAGTTAGTAAACCTGGGTGTCTTCAGTGTAACTATGATAATCATCAGCTCTGTCTGTTCAAATCAATGTGAACCCTTGTTTCTCTTACTGACAGACACTATTACACAGTTCTGTGGTGTCTGTATCAGTGTACTCAGTGTGTCATGCTGGTTTTGCTGGTGAGCGGCCCTGGTGGTCTACACTGGTTTTTCTAGCAGGCACCCCCCTTCATTTAGAGGATAATGGTTTCAGTATGACTCTACTCTAAAGTCCAGGACAGACTGAACTGTGAGAAACATTAAAGCTTGATGTTTTAATGATTTTAGGGATCGTGTTATAAACATGTCCTCATCTGTAAACTAACACCATTATACAATTTATTTATTTGATTCTTGGAGTTTGCAGCACTTTTAATCTCTGACTCCCCCACCCTGTTTCTCTTCTCCCTTAAAAAATGTATAAGCAAAAAGGTCAAATGTGGCAGTTATGAATTCAATACAAATATGCTGTTATTCACTCACATGCTGGTGACCATTCAGATAAACATTCCCTTACAGATCCAAACAAACTGCTGATATTCCTGATATTCACTGATATTCATTCTAAATCACTCTCAGTTTATACTTTTCTCACAAATCCAAACAAACCGGTCATTACAAGGAAAATCAGCCCAGTTATTTACAGGATCAGACTTGTAACCAGTTATAACACAGTCCTCATTTCCTGCATTACTGTTGGGTTCTTCATGTTCCCAGAACCTGAAAGAGAGAATCAGAGAATCCACTGTGTTTATCAGAGCAGTGAGGAGTGACAGTCATTAACTGCACCATCATCACCAGAGTTCAGTTCAGTGATCTCTTACTTAGTGGTCAGTGCTGAGCCGTCCACCCATTTCCAGGCCCCCTCTGTCTCACTGTCAGTCAGACCAATCCAAGCTCTCTGATCTCTTCTAAACTTTTCAATAAAGTCCTGTTAACAACCAGATGTACATTCTCAGAAACAGAGAGGAAAAAATAATGTACTGCACACATATTTGTGCTTGTATGGCCTGATATAAATAACCATCCCATCTCTCTCTCTCTCTCTCTCTCTCTCTCTCTCTCTCTCTCTCTCACCTGTTCTTCTCTGCTGTTTACGGTCACCAGGTCTGCTCCTCTCTTTCTGCAGTCCTGTCTGCTCTCACTCCAGCTCTTCTCTCCAGTAGAGATGAAGTACATACTGGTGTTGAAAAATGTCCAGTCCTGCTGCTTTGTCTTCTCTATGAATTGAACACAAACACAGAGATTTATTCTACTAGCCACAGATTACAGCGGCTGTACAAGTAAGTTTATAAGTTTGTAAGTTTCTTGCTTAGAGAGCAGCAAACACTGTCTCGACTCAGACAGGCTTTGTATACTGACTTATTTGTGAAGTATCATCTCTCTATGATCATACCGAGTCTGTTTACCTACTCTCGTGTATGACCCGTTTTCCCGTCCTGACCTTGATGTTTGCCTTGTCCTTTTCTCTTGTTGTGGATCTCTATTTTTTGATTTCTTGCTCTGGTTTTTCAGCCCTATTTCCACTTGTGATGATCACTATGTTATAAATGACCCAGCAAGATTCTTTAATCGAATTGTATGGCAGATTTTTCTGATTTAATAAGTGGGTCAGAATGATCGTCCGTGTTAGCTGACCGTAGGCTACAGATTAATCCAGGATAGAGGGCTATTATCTAATGTACATAGTGCGATCTAGTTATATTGCTTGTTCCTCTTTATCTGTTACCAAAATATGTACTATGTATATGTATAAAATGATTTAGTTGCTCTTGTAGTGTTACACATAGACTAGGTGGTTGTGTGATTGTCTATGTGTAACAGCACAAGTACAACTAAATCATTGTGATCAAAATAAATTTATGTTTAACAATAACATTTCATGCATAGTTTGCACTTTCAAAAGGTCAGTCGATGGCCTTCATGGGAAGTGAAGTCACTACATAAGAGCTGCTGAAAGCTCGTTTTACCAGATAAGCTATGGGACAATATAAGTAACATTAACCATTGTTCATTAACCATTAGCTGTGCTAATGAAACCTATAGTGGTTTCATTATAAGCCACTACTAACACGAATACAACACAGACAGATTCAGAACAGCTTGTTATAACAACCATAGTGTCTAACTAAGAGAACCAATAGACAGTTAAAGGTTAGTTTGTTATCATTAGCAAACTCACATATAACTGGTCCAACTCAGTACAGTTTGATTTTACATTTGAACACATAAGGAGCGTATAAAATTCACTAACCCGGTTCAGAAAGCTTCCTCTGGAGTTTGTCTGTCTCGTTCTGTAACAGATGTGTCTCTTTAGTTTGGTTGTCCAGGTCAGTCACTGAAAGTAATAGAGAATTGTTACTGAATCACTTGAGCCAAATGTTCATATGTGCACTTGCAGTCAAAAAGAATTGCTCAGACAGTTTTTGACGTACTGATTACTGACAATCATCAAGGAATTAATGGAAATGGACAAATGAGTGTCTGGATAAAAAATAGTCATTTACAAATGCAGGTCTGAACCCAGCCAATAAACAGGAACTGTTCACTGCAATCTGAAGATAAAGGCCACATTTTCATTTATAACTCATTAGTTACTTATTAGTTACTTTTTAGTAAGTGAAACTTATTATTAGTGCCTAACAGTGACAGTGAGGATGAAAACAAGAATACATCAGTGTGTTCCAGTTCATAAAGTGTTTTAAAGTATAAAAGCTGAACTTACAGTACAGTCTCAGAGCAATATTGAGAGCTGCCTGAAGGATACACATCACACCGAGACACAGTACAGCCAGCCTGAATACTCCTAAACATCAAACACACACAAATACACCTTTAACAGACTAGTGAGGTGAATGAAAGTGTCCATTCTGTTCTGAAATGGCTCTTTGTGTGTGGACGTGTGGGTCAGTGTGTGAGCACTTACCTCTGTGTTGACTCTCTCCACATGTCTGAGAGGTTTTGTCCACTTTTTCCATGTTCTGGTACTGAAGAGGTTCATTCTGAATCTCCATTTCCATATGAATGACTATAATACACTGGAACACTGCAGCACTTTAACCTTACAGGATCATAAACATGAAGCAGACTGACTGACACTGCAGACAGGAAGTGTCTCTGACGCATGTAGCTTCTCTATTGGTGAGAGATTGGATTAGATATGTTGATGTTAAAGATAAAAAATAGAAATGAGAAAATTCTCTCACATGTAAATAGGCGAGAACTTTAAGTTGAACTATGTTAACTCACTAAAAACACTTAATACGAGTAATGATGTCTAGAAATATTAGCAGTTTCCTCAAAATGGGGATTTTGGGTTAAATTGTGCAAATAGCCTTGAGTCTCAGCTTACCTGAATTCAGATGAAATATTTATACATTTAGGTGAATATAATAATTATATGTAAAAAGTAAAATACATTTATGCATGTTGTACTGCTTTTACATTGCAGATGTAAGAAGAGCAGCCAAACAAGTGTCAGATTCTATTCAGTATTCATTAAGTACGACTCTTTGTATCTACACTCTTTGTCCGTTTTGTAAGTTCTGCTTACCATCTAGGTGCACTTTGTAGTTCTACAATCACAGACTGTAGTCCATCTGTTTCTCTGCATACTTTCTTATCCCTCTTTCAGCCTTTTACTCTGTTTTTCAATGGCCAAGACCAAAAGCATTTGTATGGTGTAAAATTACTCTTCACTGGAACTAAGAGGCCCACATCCTGAAGAGCAGCCCTAGACCGTTATCCCACCCCCAATAAACTTTACTGTTGTTACTATGTATTCTATTAGGTAGTGATTTCCAGGGATCAACCAAACCCAGATCAGACTGCCAGATAGTGAAGCTTGATTCATTACTCCAGAGCACACATTTCCACTGCTTCAGAGTCCAGTGGTGACGTGCTTTACACCACTCCATCTGACACTTGGCATCGTGCATTTTGGTCTTAGGCTTGTGTGCAGCTGCTCGGCCATGGAAACCCATTTCATGAAGCTCGTAATATGCAGTTGTTTTGCTGATGTTGCTTCCAGAGGCAGTTTTGAACTTATTAGTTAGTGATTCAACAAAGGATAGACACTGTGCACTTCAGCACTTGGCAGCCCCACTTTTTGAGTTTTTGTGATCTACCATTTAATGGCTGAGCTGTTGTTGCTCCTAGATGCTTCCATTTTACAACAATAGCACTTACAGTTGTCTGGGGCAGATCTAGCAGGACAAAAATTAAAAAAAACTGCCTTGTGGCAGAGGTGGCATCCTATGACAGTGCCATGTTTAAAGTCACTGAGCTCATCTGTACGACCTGTTCTACTGCCAGTGTTTGTCTATCAAGACTGCGAAACTATGAGCTTAATTTTATACACCTGTTACCAATGGGTGTCGCTGAAACACCTGAACTAAACAATTAGGAGGGGTGTCCACATACTTTTTGCCATATAGTTTGTTATACATACTACTCTGTGTTAAAAATGACTTTTAAGCTTGAAATTGTTTGTAATGTATGAAGTTTGAAAGGTTTGACGTTAGACTGGGATCTGATGTGTGACGTGCAAGTCCCTCAGTAAATGTGTAGGCATGGAAATATACTCTTATTTTAGAGGGGAAACAAAATACAACAAAAAATGCTGAAGTGAAATCTTCGTCCTCCATCTTCAGCAGTTTTGTTTTACACTTAAGTGTGTCATTACTGAATGTAGTCTGAGTGCAGCTCTTTAGCGTTTTAGCTATTAAAAGAGACATTCTTTAGAATTCCTGCATGATTAAGTGGTTAAAGACAGTCTAAAAGCTAAAAACTTCCTTATATAAAGTAATTTCATGAAATGGTTATAGAGCACAGTGCCTGATGTCTGAGACATTGTTTCATGATGGTTTTGAGACAAGTTTTGTTATGTACCAAAGCAGAAAATGCAGGACGTTGTAAAAAAAAAAAATCTTTGGGGATGATTTTGTCTTACAACGCCCTGCGTTTTCTGCACTGTAGCGAAACTGACTCAGGCAGGTGACAGGAAAAATGACCAGTGAACCTACATGTGTCCTGTTCAATTTCCTTTCACCTGCCTGAGTCAGTTTTTCTACAGGGCACCATTTCACATAAAAAACCCCTGAATGACTGTTTACATCCCAATGACTGAATTTTGCAAATATTAAAAAACTGGTGGAATATCCCTTTAAGCAGGTATAGCATGTGAGTGTGTGCTTTGCTGAACCGACACCACAACCATGTGATGTTAATCAGCACATACAGAAACCACGTGACTTTCAGACACACCACACAGACTCTTCTGTATCTGTCACGATCTCACTTCTTTAGAAGGCATCGAAGGTCCGTTTTTAAAACCACTCTAAAACAGAGGAGAGTATGTGCAGTTCTGACTGTCATCTACTTCAGTTTTCCAGGTGACACTGACTGAACAATGTCTCTTCTTACCAGCTTTCTACAGCTTTCGCCCAGAAACATGGTTTGTGAGTCCAGGCCTTCCAGCTGTGGGGGTCGTATGAGGGCAGACTAACTGAGGTAGAGAACTCTGAGAACTCAGACTGGATGCATTTAGGAATGTTGAACAGAAGTGGAGATGAATGAGGATCTGTATGCAAACACAGCAGAGAAGAGATCAACTGATTCAAACAACAGCAGGAGCTCTTATGAAGAAATCTATGCCAATGAAGCTGTTCTGGACACTCCAGTGACCAGAAGCCATAGAGGAACTATGACCTCAGGTACTGTTTAATTTGTTTGTTAATAGTGTTTATTTTCACACTCATGATATCATACACTTCATATATTTACATATATTTTATTCGCCATCAGTGTAACTATGATAATCATCAGCTCTGTCTCTTCTAATTAATGTGAACTCTTGTTTCTCTTACTGACAGACACTATTACACAGTTCTGTGGTGTCTGTATCAGTGTACTCAGTGTGTCATGCTGGTTTTGCTGGTGAGCGGCCCTGGTGGTCTACGCTGGTTTTTCTAGCAGGGATCCCCCCTTCATTTAGAGGACAGTAGTTTCAGTATGACTATTCAAAAATCCAAGACAGACTGAACTGTGAGAAACATTAAAGATTGATGTTTTAATGATTTTAGGGATCGTGTTATAAACATGTCCTCATCTGTAAACTAACACCATTATACAATTTATTATTTTTTAGATCTGATTCTGGGAGTTTGCAGCACTTTTAATCTCTGACTCCCCCACCCTGTTTCTCTTCTCCCTTAAAAATGTATAAGCAAAAAGGTCAAATGTAATTAAAAGAGTGACAGTTATGAATTCAATACAAATATGCTGTTATTCACTCACATGCTGGTGACCATTTAGCTAAATGTTCCCTTACAGATCCAAACAAACTGCTAAATCACTCTCAGTTTATACTTTTCTCACAAATCCAAACAAACCGGTCATTACAGGAAAAATCAGCCCAGTTTTTTACAGGATCAGACTTGTTACCAGTTACAACACAGTCCTCATCTCCTCCTGCACTGTTGGGTTCATCATGCTTCCAGAACCTGAAAGAGAGAATCAGAGAATCCACTGTGTTTATCAGAGCAGTGAGGAGTGACAGTCATTAACTGCACCATCATCACCAGAGTTCAGTTCAGTGATCTCTTACTTAGTGGTCAGTGCTGAGCCGTCCACCCATTTCCAGACCCCCTCTGTCTCACTGTCAGTCAGACCAATCCAAGCTCTCTGTCCTCTTCTAAACTTTTCAATAAAGTCCTGTTAACAATCAGATGTACATTCTCAGAAACAGAGAGGAAAAATTAATTTACTGCACACATATTTGTGCTTGTATGGCCTGATATAAATAACCATCCCATCTCTCTCTCTCTCTCTCTCTCTCTCTCTCTCTCTCTCTCTCTCTCTCTCTCTCTCACCTGTTCTTCTCTGCTGTTTATGGTCACCAGGTCTGCCCCTCTCTCTCTGCAGTCCTGTCTGCTCTCACTCCACATCTTCCCTTCAATAGAGATGAAGTACATACTGGTCTTGAAAAATGTCCAGTCCTGCTGCTTTGTCTTCTCTATGAATTGAACACAAACACAGAGATTTATTCTACACTTTAATGCCACAGTTAATTTCTTCTTTCACACCAGTCAGTCAGATTATTGGATCCTTGGTAATTATTCCTCTCATTAAAAAGAAATTACTGTACTGGTATTTATTTTGCATCATGGGTTACACTGATATGGGAATTGAGGATGATTACGGTCTGATGTTTTTAGTGTATGTATTTACTGATACTGTGTCAATACATACACATTTATAAACTGTAGAAATCAGGGCCAGAAAATAGTTCAGCTACAAGAACACATTCAAATTCAGCTTCCTGTCACTCCAGCACCTGAGACATGTACTATTATACTATTATTATAATATTATAATATACTATTATTATTATTATAATTATTATTATAATTATTTTTATTATTATTATTACCTACACTTGTGTCAGCAGAGCACCAGTTAGTTAGAATCTTACCTGGACTGTGGTTTGTGGCACTTTTTGCTAAAAAAAAAAAAAAAATCCTTGACAACATCCGCTGGTGGTTAAGTGCTTAGAGAAGCTGAATCCTGAGGTGGAGCAGCTGGTAAACTGCTATAACCATGAATCAGAAGAAGTCTAAAGTATGGCAGCATTTCATACTTTTGAAGGACAACCCTAACAAAGTTAATGTATGCAAGAATTCACTTACCATTCAACAACATCAAACAGGGCAAACCACTTGAAACGAGTTAGTTACATAACTAGGGGGACATTCTTTGATTATCTGTGCAGATTTACTACACATATAATGCAGGCAGTAAGTCTATTTACAAGGCAGGGAATGGACAAAGGCCTCATACGCCAGCCTGATCACATCAACTAGCCAAGTAAGTTTATAAGTTTGTAAGTTTCTTGCTTAGAGAGCAGCAAACACTGTCTCGACTCAGACAGGCTTTGTATACTGACTTATTTGTGAAGTATCGTCTCTCTATGATCTTCTAACATAAGATGAAGTAAAAAGCAGTATTTCCACTTGTGATGATCACCATGTTATAAATGACCCAGCAAGATTCTTTAATTGAATTGTATGGCAGATTTTTCTGATTTAATAAGTGGGTCAGAATGATTGTCCGTGTTAGCTGACCGTAGGCTACAGATTAATCCAGGATAGAGGGCTATTATCTAATGTACATAGTGCGATCTAGTTATATTGCTTGTTCCTCTTTATCTGTTACCAAAATATGTACTATGTATATGTATAAAATGATTTAGTTGCTCTTGTAGTGTTACACATAGACTAGGTGGTTGTGTGATTGTCTATGTGTAACAGCACAAGTACAACTAAATCATTGTGATCAAAATAAATTTATGTTTAACAATAACATTTCACGCATAGTTTGTGCTTTCAAAAGGTCAGTCGATGGCCTTCATGGGAAGTGAAGTCACTACATAAGAGCTGCTGAAAGCTCGTTTTACCAGATAAGCTACGGGACAATATAAGTAACATTAACCATTGTTCATTAACCATTAGCTGTGCTAATGAAACCTATAGTGGTTTTTGTTATAAGCCACTACTAACACGAATACAACACAGACGGATTCAGAACAGCTTGTTATAACAACCATAGTGTCTAACTAAGAGAACCAATAGACAGTTAAAGGTTAGTTTGTTATCAAACTCACATATAACTGGTCCAACTCAGTACAGTTTGATTTTACATTTGAACACATAAGGAGCGTATAAAATTCACTAACCCGGTTCAGAAAGCCTCCTCTGGAGTTTGTCTGTCTCGTTCTGTAACTGATGTGTCTCTTTAGTTTGGTTGTTCAGGTCAGTCACTGAAAGTAATAGAGAATTGTTACTGAATTACTTGAGCGAAATCTTCATATGTGCACTTGCAGTCAAAAAGAATTGCTCAGACAGTTTTTGACGTACTGATTACTGACAATCATCAAGGAATTAATGGAAATGGACAAATGAGAGTGTCTGGATAAAAAATAGTCATTTACAAATGCAGGTCTGAACCCAGCCAATAAACAGGAACTGTTCACTACAATCTGAAGATAAAGGCCACATTTTCATTTATAACTCATTAGTTACTTATTAGTTACTTTTTAGTAAGTGAAACTTATTATTAGTGCCTAACAGTGACAGTGAGGATGAAAACAAGAATACATCAGTGTGTTCCAGTTCATAAAGTGTTTTAAAGTATAAAAGCTGAACTTACAGTACAGTCTCAGAGCAATATTGAGAGCTGCCTGAAGGATACACATCACACCGAGACACAGCACAGCCAGCCTGAATACTCCTAAACATGAAACACGCACAAATACACATTTAACAGACTAGTGAGGTGAATGAAAGTGTCCATTTTGTTCTGAAATGGCTCTTTGTCTGTGGACATGTGGGTCAGAATGTGAGTACTTACCTCTGTGTTGACTCTCTCCACATGACTGAGAGGTTTTGTCCACTTTTTCTGTGTTCTGGTACTGAAGAGGTTCATTCTGAATGTCCATTTCCATATGAATGACTATAATACACTGGAACACTGCAGCACTTTAACCTTACAGGATCATAAATGTGAATCAGATTGACTGACACTGCAGACAGGATGTGTCTCTGTCGCGTGTAGCTTCTCTATTGGTGAGAGATTGGGTTAGATATGTTGATGTTAAAGATAAAAAAGAGAAATGAGAAAATTCTCTCACATGTAAATAGGTGAGAACTTTAAGTTGAACTATGTTAACTCTCTAAAAACACTTAATACAAGTAATGATGTCTAGAAATATTAGCAGTTTCCTCAAAATAGGGGCTTTGGGTTAAATTGTGCAAATAGACTTGAGTCTCAGCTTACCTGAATTCAAATGAAATATTTATACATTTAGGTGAATATAATAATTATATGTAAAAAGTAAAATACATTTATGCATGTTGTACTGCTTTTACATTGCAGATCTAAGAAGAGCAGCCAAACAAGTGTCAGATTCTATTCAGTATTCATTAAGTACGCCTCTTTGTATCTACACTCTTTGTCCGTTTTATAAGTTCCACTTACCATCTAGGTGCACTTCGTAGTTCTACAATCACAGACTGTAGTCCATCTGTTTCTCTGTATACTTTCTTATCCCTCTTTCAGCCTCTTTCACTCTGTTTTTCAATGGCCAAGACCAAAAGCCTTTGTATGGTGTAAAATTACCCTTCACTGGATCTAACAAACCCAGATCAGACTGCCAGATAGTGAAGCTTGATTCATTGCTCCAGAGCACACATTTCCACTGCTTCAGAGTCCAGTGGTGACGTGCTTTACACCACTCCATCTGACGCTTGGCATTGTATATATTTTGGTCTTAGGCTTGTGTGCAGCTGCTCGGCCATGGAAACCCATTTCGTGAAGCTCCTAATGTGCAGTTTTTTGTTTTTTTTTGCTGATGTTGCTTCCAGAGGCAGTTTTAAACTTTATTAGTTAGTGATTCCACAAAGGATAGACACTGTGTGCTTCAGCACTCGGCAGCCCCACTTTTTGAGTTTTTGTGATCTACCATTTAATGGCTGAGCTGTTGTTGCTCCTAGCTGCTTCCATTTCACAATAGTAGCACTTACAGTTGTCTGGGGCAGATCTAGCAGGACAAAAATTTCAAAAAAACTGCCTTGTGGCAGAGGTGGCATCCTATGACAGTGCCATGTTTAAAGTCACTGAGCTCATCTGTACGACCTGTTCTAGGGGTGGGGTGTCCACATACTTTTTTGCCATATAGTTTGTTATACATACTACTCTGCTTTTAAAATGACTTTTAAGCTTGAAATTGTTTGTAATGTATAAAGTTTGAAAGGTTTGACGTTAGACTGTTGGATCTGATGCGTGACGTGCAAGTCCCTCAGTAAATGTGTAGGCATGGAAATATACACTCTTATTAAATCTTTGTCCACCATCTTCAGCAGTTTTGTTGTATTCTTTGGGGATGATTTTGTCCTACAACGCCCTGCGTTTTCAGCACTGTAGAGAAACTGACTCTGACAGGTGACAGGAAAAATGACCAGTGAACCTACATGTGTCCCGTTCAATTTCCTCAGTCAGTTTCTCTACAGTGCACCATTTCAGAATTTTATATTTCATATATTTTATGTGATGTGATTTTTTTAAAAACTGTATTTTATAACAGTGACCGAAGGGGGGAGGTTGGAGTAACTGTGACAGGCCAAATAGCTACAGGTCAGTTTTGGGCAGCCTTGGCCTACATAAATAAATATACAGTGGTGTGAAAAAGTGTTTGCCCCCTTCCTGATTTCCTATTCTTTCGCATGTTTGTCACACTTAAATGTTTCAGATCACCAAACAAATTTAAATATTAGACAAAGATAACACAAGTAAACACAAAATGCAGTTTATAAATGAAGATCTTTATTATAAAGGGAAAAAGAAGTCCAAACCTACAGGGCCCTGTGTGAAAAAGTGATTGCCCCCTAAACCTAATTACTGGTTGGGCCACCCTTAGCAGCAACAACTGCAATCAAGCGTTTGCAATAACTGGCAATGAGTCTTTTACACCGCTGTGGAGGAATTTTGGAATTTTCCTCTTTGCAGAATTGTTGTAATTCAGCCACATTGGGGGGTTTCTGAGCATGAACCATCTTTTTAAGGTCATGCCACAGTATCTCAATCGGATTCAAGTCAGGACTTTGACTAGGCCACTCCAAAGTCTTAATTTTGTTTTATTTAAGCCATTCAGAGGTGGATTTGCTGGTGTGTTTTGGATCATTCCTGCTGCAAAACCCAAGTGCACTTCAGCTTGAGGTCACAAACAAATGGCCGGACATTCTCCTTCAGGATTTTTTGGTAGACAGCAGAATTCATGGTTCCATTTACCACAGCAAGTCTTCCAGGTCCTGAAGCAGCAAAACAGCCCCAGACCATCACACTGCCACCACCATATTTTACTGTTGGTATGATGTTCCTTTTCTGAAATGCTGTGTTACTTCTACGCCAGATGTAATGGGACATACAGCTTCCAAAAAGTTCAACTTTTGTCTCACCAGTCCACAGAGTATTGTCCAAAAGTCTTGGGGATCATCAAGACACTTTTTTTTGGTGCCCTCTTCTGGAAAATTATGGTGCGACACCCAGATTCAGCCTGTGTAAAATGAGAAATCAAGGTTCTTTATAAATTATGAGCTGATCATACTTGTGTAATTTGTACTGTTATTGCTCACTGACTGATACATTAGAACTGTACAAATTGGAGCTGATATCTGATCCTCAGTCAGGAACAGTAGAATATTTACAGTAATAACATAAAACTTCAATACATTTTTTAAATAAACACATCACAACAAATGTCACTAAAAACACACAATCATAATTTATTGTTATTTCTATTAGATAATCTGTCAGCTCTATTAAATGTAGTATTAAATTCTTATACAGCTACATGTTTAACATTCCAAATGAAATTATTAAGTAAACATAATAAAAACAATAAAATGGACAAAAAATCAGATGTATTAGATGAATACTTAAAAGACAACCAACTACATTTTATAAACAGTCCTGCACTGACTTCATTCAGCCTCCAGAGGACTTCTGATCACACATCTGACGTCTGATCACATGTCTGACTACTTGCAGTCAGAAATTATACATTAAACAGAAAATTACACAGAAGACTCAACAACTTCATATAACATCAGCCTTTCCAGCATATAATGTAGCCACACTTCACAGCTTCCTTTCTTTTCAGGAGACTTGCTTTGTTTTTCCAAGAAATCTGCAGGGATATTTTTCCACACCTCCAAAGTTCAGTCCTAGAAGTTGGTTGAATTTTCTGCTTCTCACAATCAAATAAATCCCAAACACATTCAGTGATGTTGAGATCTTTAACCTATGGATTCAAGGTGAGCACTAACCTTTTGTAATCCCTCTTTATTACCAAATACAATTACTCTTGTCTTTCTTTGTTTAGCTGAGGGAAGTTATATATATTTATTTATTTTATATATTTACATATATTTTATTTGCTCTAAGCACTGACACAGAGTGTCTATGGGACTGTAGTCATTTGGAGAGAGAGTTAGTAAATCTGGGTGTCGTCAGTGTAACTATGATAATCATCAGCTCTGTCTCTTCTAATTAATGTCAACCCTTGTTTCTCTTACTGACAGACACTATTACACAGTTCTGTGGTGTCTGTATCAGTGTACTCAGTGTGTCATGCTGGTTTTGCTGGTGAGCAGCCCTGGTGGTCTACACTGGTTTTTCTAGCAGGGAACCCCCCTTCATTTAGAGGACAGTGGTTTCAGTATGACTCTATTCCAAAATCCAGGACAGACTGAACTGTGAGAAACATTAAAGCTTGATGTTTTAAAGCTTTTAGGGATCGTGTTTTGAACTAAGTTTGCAGCATTTTTAATCTCTGGCTCCCTCACCCTGTTTCTCTTCCACTTTAATAAAATAATAAGCAAAAAGGTCAAATGTAAATAAAAGAGTGAGAGTTACGAATTAAATACAAATATGCTGTTATTCACTCACATGCTGGTGACCATTCAGATAAATATTCCCTTACAGATCCAAACAAACTGCTGATATTCACTGATATTTATTCTAAAACACTCTCAGTTTAAAATACTTTTCTCACAAATCCAAACAAACCAGTCATTACAAGAAAAATCAGCCCAGTTTTTTACAGGATCAGACTTGTCACCAGTTATAACACAGTCCTCATCTCCTGCTGCTCTGTTGGGTTCATCATGTCCCCAGAACCTGAAAGAGAGAATCAGAGAATCCACTGTGTTTATCAGAGCAGTGAGGAGTGACAGTCATTAACTGCACCATCACCAGAGTTCAGTTCAGTGATCTCTTACTTAGTGGTCAGCGTGGAGCCGTCCACCCATTTCCAGGTCCCCTCTGTCTCACTGTCAGTCAGACCAATCCAAGCTCTCTGACCTCTTCTCAACTTTTCAATAAAGTCCTGCTAATGTTGCCGGCCTCAGGCCTAGGGGAACCTGAGCCGTGCACAAGATGGTATCATAACAGCGAATGGCTGTATGATGGCGGGAGATGGTCAAGATCTCTCTCTCTCTCTCTCCCTCTAAAATGACAAGGAAAACCAACACAGAAGTGAATGTGTCGTCAGCCTGGGGCGCAAGGTTTATTCTGGACCTTTTACCCACTTAGAAATGACTTCTGTGTGTTCAGTGCTATTAAATACACAAAACTGGTTGTAACTCCAGAAAATGCATTTCCACATTACATTCACATCTGAAGTCTGGGCTACATTCATCACCCTTAAGTTTGAGAACCT